CTTCCACGCTCACACATACGTACGCACACACACACACACACACACACACACACACACAATACACTTCACAGGTCCTTTCATGGACCATATCAGAAAGCGCTGTGCGCACATTACTTGTGTGTGTGTGTGTACCCTCGCGTTCATCCATCAGCTTTCTACACATGCACACTCGCGCAATCTGGAGATAATAAAAACCGCACTCAAGTGCAATGCACCATGCACGTGCATTTATCAACTTGTCATTTTGAACAGATACATACACACACACCATTTCTCCCTCACACTCTTTGTCGAAAAAGCGTATTTTTATCCCCATTCCAAAGAATCTGTAGTTGATGATGATCTCCATTGTGCATTGAAATGAGCCAGAGCTCGGTGTTTCAAACCCAAAAATCCACATCTATATTGTTTGCACAATTTCATTTTGCGAAACAGATAAGCAATGATTTACCATCGTCTATCGCGCCCCGGTTCTCGGCGATTTTTGATCCCCGGTTAATTTCGCTCCATTCATATTCCATCAGTTCTATGGTTTCCAATCCCCCTCCCCCATCCACACAAATCGATTGTTCACCCCACCTTTCCCAATATTTTACACCTCTGAATCAGATAGGTTCATTCTTGAAAAATTGAAATCTTAGTCCTTGTAAACGCATTGAATTTGTTAACTCCCCCTCCTACCTGGATCGATTCCATCAAATTGTGAGCTATGATGTACTAAGCTCTCAACAATGAGTACGCGTTCGTGGCACAGAAACAACGGAGTTGCAAAACCTGTGACCAGTGGGATTCATGTAAACAATCTGTTTCGACCGGCACACTAGTAATAGGGAGGCCTTACAGGAAACACGTCAGATATTGCCTATAGGGCGGTAGGTGCGGACACAGATACTACGGCAGACTCAAATCTACCTATCCTGTGTTGAAACTCTCGTACGTGCGGCAGAACTCGAGGACCGTCACCGCCCCGCCCCCACCCCTGGCCCTACAACAAAACCCCGCACGCACAGAGAGAGAGAGTGGACACCCCTTGCGACCAGAGATATTCTCTCCAAATTGATACTCTGTAGGCCTATTTTCCTGCCACTTCTTGCTTGATTACATGGCCATTCCATAGAATAATTATTGTGTAAATTTGTTTTTTTAAAACTCACAATACATTTTCTATCACATCAATACTTTTTTGCTCCACAGGGTTGGATGTCCGTATACAGGCGGTCAGAAATCCATTGCCTTGAAGACGAAACGTGGCACCACTACATCCACGCATCATAAAACATAACTTTTCATAGAATGATATCTAGATTTCTACCCTAATTTTCTATTATTTATTCGTGTTTATTGAACGAACATTTCCCTCTCAATAGTCTATCAGTTAAAACTTAAAATTACTTTCGCGTATTTTGAACGAGTTTAACTTTCTTGGAATGGATATAATGTTTTTGTTGATTAAACATGAGAGTTATGCTTCAGAAATCAAACTGACCTTATGCATCTTCCGTCTGTTTGATTCAGGTGAGAGTTAGTGACTAGGACGTTAAAATCCAGTGGAATTCTTTCAAGCCCCATTTTACCAAAAGAAGATGACAGTTGATAAATGTTATTTAACAAAACGTTGGACGAATTCGATTGTCAGATGGATTACCACAAAGCGGTAAACATTATGATAACTTGTTTGTAATTCCTAAGGTTGTTCCGAACCGCCAAACTGTGCTTTCCTGATGAGTGTTTCAAAATAGTACTAAGATTTTTTCTGAAGACATCGAAAATTGACCTGAGCGTTCATTTTTCCGGGATCAGGTGGATCGAAGTCCTTATTTGTCATCACAAATTATTATTGATCCTCGGGGGTCAAATTATACAGGAGTCTACGTTTGAAATGCAAATGAATGTATATTATGATGAAAGTCACTTACGGAAAATCAGTAAGAAGGATACACTGAAGTTTACCAGATGTGTAGGGTGAATTGACAGAACAATCACGGAAGCTGTCGGATGATTCCGGAAAAATTGGATGAAACCTTCATGTATGGTATATTATGAAATCTTCACTGAAAGCTATTTGATTCGTGAAAAGCAACACTGACAACGCTCGTCAATATTTAGCTCATACCTAAGATTGCATTCAACAAATCTACGGCCGCATTCAACTGTTCCACACTTTGAGGAATTATTCCTTCATGCCTACAATCGGGTATTATCGGGAAGGAATAAGTAGATACAATCGTTTGTTTTCATTCCGGTTGTTCTCATGCTTCGTAGAGCAATAAACTAATTTGAGACATATGAAACTGAGATCACTATTTTCATTCACATAACTCGCCCTTCTGGAGAAGTTGATAGATTTACGTATGCATGCTTTGGGTGTCCTTTGGTTCTATCTATATCCATCGGTTAATGAACCTCCTAGCTTGCATTTTGGGTGAATTCAATTAGTTAACACCGTTTGGCATAGCCACTCAAAGTCGGATATTAGTGCTGTTGGTGGTTTTCAAAAATGCGAGCATTATTCCCAGCTGTTGGATTTCAATGACCGTAACTGCCACCAGCACTTATTTAATACATAAATTGTAGCAAAATATGTCTTATGTAAAAGACACTAAATTTGAAGAATCCCAAATATTTATACGCAATCAAGTGAACCGACTCCATCTGCCTCTCGATTTCTACTACTGACAAGCATAAGAGTAGTCATGACTTCTTCTGTTTGGGATGTTTTCTGTACAATTTCTTTGGACACGANGGACACGACCCATTGTGTGTTTTCAACTATGAATTTCAAACACCACACAGTGCCGATAATATAGATGATATAATTAGCATTTTAGGATATGAAATTTGCGGCGCGCAGTGCTACCAGTTAATTGTTCACTCCGCGTAACGACCCTGTACACACTGGTACATGTGGTCATAATCAGAACTGCCTCCTGCACAACAGCTGAATTATTGTCAGTAATCTTACCTCAACCGAGTTTCCGCGACTGGAGGACTCATAACGGGGATAGATAGAGTAACACAAATGCACACACAGTCCACTCAGGACGCCTTACTTGCATAATGCATGGCAAACCGTTGATCAAGGCTGGCCAAATGCATCCACCAACTGAGCGTATTAACACGTTCTCACATTACTGTGTTCTGCCAATCCACCCCACATCCGCTTAGCTGGCGCCGAACGGCAGCAGTACCATAGGATGTATCATCACTCGGAAAGATCAAAGTGACTTGATCGCCAGTTATGGAGACAACGCAACCCAGCACGCGCCACCAACACCGACAAAATTTTGGGACTGCTGAGATACATGCAAAGTACCTAAGTAGGAAGACCAAAAGAACGGAGGGAAAACAAGCAGATTGATTCACATTGTATTGCGTCAAACACGTTCCAAATGTTATCCATACTTCTGTTCAAATCAAAATGCTCTTTACAAGCAGGAAGATCAAACTAAGTGTTGCGAATCCTCAGTAGTGGCCGAACCTGTAATTGCTATGACGAGCCTCAATCAATTTATAGCTTTTTGTTTACTTGTCTAACCCTTGCAATCAAAGTGGAACAAGTGTCTTAAGTTGGTATCTCAACGAACCAGTGCACACGCACCCAAAAGCACATCAATCAAATCTTGTCACGAAACGATCCCGCCAGTTGTGGTTCAAGCGGGATCACTCAATCTAACCAAAGGAATTTCTGCCGGAAAGGTATCAAGTGCATGGATTAGTAGGAGTTGGTTTTATCATCATGCTTCAGCTTTTTGTTGGGGTGGGGGAAGTTTATCGACAACATTATAGGAACCGTATGGTAAAGTAACACGGGGATGATCACAGCCAGGTGCCCTCAATAGGATTGCATAATGGGTTTTGCTTATTTCGTTAAAATAAGTGTTCTGACCACTTGCTTGGCGGTGACTGTTGCTTTGGTGCTTCAGGTGAGAATATATTTCAAAGATAAATGAACTCACCCAAAAGATAATCATGCAGGCGCACATAGCATACAGCCTCTGTACAAAGCGTACAATACTCATTCGTTTTCCCTTGTTCACCGGGATAGGCATTTCATTTTCAACCGTTTCATTGCTGGCAGAGTTGAAATCTTCAGTGCCTGTGAAGTGGAATAGCTTAATACGTTTTGCCTACTGGCCAAGGTTGGCAATTTGTTTTCAAACGTTTCATTATCAGCCGAGTTGACATTGTCAGTGGTTACGAAACGACTTTCATTTCACCTATTCACCGTGTTTGGCCCCTTGAAAAGAAATGACGATGGTGGATTCAGCACGCAGTATATCATCAACCTGACAATTACGACTGATTGTCAGTGCCAATAAAAGCAACGAGGGCAACATAACGTAGCAAATGAAGTCTCCTCAGTTATTATAATCATGCAGTTATATAACGTTAAAGACATTTACGGA